ATGACAACTTGAAAGGGTGATAAGCCATGGTTTTGTAGTGTATTGGCTTAAAATGCTGATTGTACCTTTTTGATCCAGGTTAGAAGACAGCTGTGGTGAGCCACAAGGTTCTTACAGTCGCAGAAGGTTCTCAGTGGATCTTCACCCATCAGGCCCACATCTCTGCAAATGAAGCACTCAGACTCCTCTGTCAAAAGAAGAAGTGAGAGAGCTTTAACACCAAGTATAAGAGCACAGAGTTGCTCTAGGAGCTGTAGGTAAAACAAATATAGTACTTGAGCGATTAACAATGCACTATTTTTTATTTTTCTCTCAAATTTAAAACACTTTACATCCAAGGAAGTTAATAATAATTTTTTTTTTTTTTTTAAATAATGTACATTTACATTGGGGGTGTAAGATTATATGGTAGCCCAATAAAAGCAGTAAAATATGTACTTTAATCATTTTATTCATCTTATTTAAAAATGCAGAAGTAAATAAATAGGTTGTAATTTTTATTTATTTATTTATTTATTTATTCATTCATTCATTCAGTCCCTAACTGTGTAAAATCTGTGTAAAATACATAAATACCTTTAACTTAAACTTAACTATACTGAAATGATACAGATAGTTACCTGACTAAAAACTACCGATAAGTTATAACCAGAAATGACTGACCAGAAATCTTCCACAAAAAGTCTCATTCTGACATTGATAATTCATGTTTATTTTTGTATAGTGCCTTTTACAATACAAATCGTTGCAAAGCAGCTGTACAATATATGTTTGGATACAATAAGGTGGATACTTTAAAATTTACTCAAATAAATATTACAATGTTCTTCTACTTTGGAAATGACATTTGACCATTCATTGTGGATATAAAAAACAATTCTAAGTTAAATGTATTTTCATGTTAGAGCTTTAACGTCTACCTGCTTCAATCAAGTACTGTATGTGTCCTGCTGTATTTTCCTTCAACACAAATCTATTCCAGTGTAGGGCATGTCGTGTACTGGGGGACATTATGTTAAAGGGGTACTCCACCCGAAAATGAAAATTGTGTCATCATTTATTTACCCACATGTTATTCCAAAACTATGAATTGCTTCTGTGGATCATAAAAGAAGAAATCTTGAGAAATTGTCTTTGTTTTTTGTCAATACAATAGAAGTTAATGGGTTCCTATGTTGTTTAGTTTCCGACGTTCATCAGAACATATTCTATTGTTTCTCAGAAGAATAATGATATAATTCTCACTTTTGAGTGGAGCAACCCTTTAAGATCACATGATATTTGCTTTTATGTGGTACTTCATCCACTCCACTAAGTGTCAGCATACGTACAAGATGACAATCATATTGACCAGCACAACATTCTAAAAAATCCTGAGTGCACCTTGACACTTGACTGGAACATATAGATAGTCACCACCTTGAAAACTATGACATGAGAAGCTCTAGTGCTTAATGGTGTGCTGCGAAACAATTTAGATATCGAGTGTATGCCCATTACTGAATTTGTGTTGGCGTAATAACACATTTCCATAACATTAGGCATGCACTGGATAATTATTTGATGATGACAAGAGAGAAATCAAGGTGTTTGTCTTTAATGCCTCACCTAATGCTAGCTGCTTATTTACTTGTCACTTTGACATGTTGTCACACCTAACAGTGATTGACAGAATTAGTTTTTGCCAAATCATTAATGCGCTCATTCTCTCAAAGTGCTGCCGCAGGTACAGTCTGAACAGAAAATTACTCACAACTTCCATATACAGGGAACAAAACGGAGGCAAAACAAATCACGTCAAGCAATAGTTTACCCGTAATGAAGACAACCATTAACACCTAAGTGCCTGCAGGGAAAATAATTATCTCAGCTTTATTTGTTGTGCAAAGTATTTATTAATAAATTAAAGAAATGTCTATTCCAGACTGCCCATGAGCCATTATCTGAAGGCTCAGCCCAGATGTCATCATGCTTAATTTTGCTAAATATATGTGTATCTCATAATGTTTTCCTCCATTTTTCTTCTTTGCTTTGTCTGCAGGGTGTCTGTTGGTGAAGAGGAAAGTTCCTCCAGTATCTGCAGTGGAGGAGTGTGTGTCTGGATGTCTGCTTTTTGTCACGCTAGCAGACAGTTCTTCATCCATCCCCAGACTGCTCGGCTGCCCAGTATTCGCCGCCATATACATCAAAGTTCTGCAAGATGCTGGAGGTTAACGTCCAAGAAAAATGCAATTAGAAGATGTCTATAAGATCCAGCCAGGCTATCGAGTGTACTTAATGCAAGTGTAATACAGAAAGCAAAGGTTTCGTTATGAAAACGACTATGAAGCCATTATTTCATTTGTTTAAATGCAGTATTCCCCAGCCATCTGTCAAATAGGATTTAAATGGAGAAACGAAACATCCCATGACATTCAGAGTCATTCATGAAGGGGAAAGTCATCCTGTCTGTTTTATCAGCATATCAGTGATAGTCTCATCTTTACAGGACTTGTACAGGACAGGAGAACATATGGTTCTAATCATCCACCATTAGAAGCCAAATCAATGAGAAGGAGGAGAGTCAAATTGCTAAAAAGCTTTAATCTTGGGTAAAAACACCGACAATTAAAGAGGAAGTTTGTAATGTTGAGAAGTCAAATCTATCTGTGACTCCATAGTGGACAATCCCAATATACACTTTGAGCCACTGTACACTTAACAGTCTTTTGAAAAATTTTTTGTACATGTATTTGTAGACTTTACTGTGACTTTTATCATTCTAGAGCATGAACACTTTAAACAGTTTTCTTTTTTTCACTAGGCACAGTGTTGTTTGCCAGGCAGGAAAGTTTAAGTCATGTCAAAAAAAGTTAATGCTCTACCTTGAGAGTACGAGTGTGTGTGTGTGTGTGTAGGCATGTGCTCACATTGCAGTGAGAGAGAGGAAGTGTGTGCCACTCAAGCTGTGCAGTAATGAGAAGACTAACACACACGTCTCATCCCATGACTGAGAAATGACCCTTCCCTCCCTCTCTCTTCCTTTTTCCCTCTCATCAGATCCTCCCTCGCTCAGTGAGGTGTTTATTTAATGCCACTGTGACTGAAGCTTTTGAGGTGTTTATTTAATGCAACTGTGACTGAAGCTTTTCTTAATTATGCTAAATACTGTCAGCCTTGATCAGACTCCACACTTAGCAATCACAGGTCCTCCCCTTACCCCCATCAGAGAGGGGCCGCGCGCACACACACTAATGAATACAGACACAGAAGTGCTAATGAAGGCACTCATATGTTAATTGTGGAGACACACAAATGCTGATAGATTATCTTAGTCTAACTAACCCAAAAACATGAATGTATAACAAAATAAAAAATTTTTAATTCACCTTATTATTACTCGATAAAGAAGAGATGAGAAAATAAATGCAAGGTCAGTGGATGACTTAACCCATTGGACAGTATTGCTGTTATCAATTATTGGACATTTGGCAAAAAAAAAAAAAGACTTGAGTGGCTTTTATAAAATGTCAGTACTATGCAGCTCGATTCACTAAAGAGTCTTAATAATTATTAGACCGTATGTTCACAGGTGTGTATTATCATCAATTTACTACAGCTTTGAACTTAAGTCATAAAAATTGCCTAAAAAGATAATAAATTATTATATGTTTTTGAATATTACGTAAAAATAATTTCTGTCAGCCTTGGCTTGACATAAAAGAAAATGTAAATGCAAAGAAATCTCAATTCAAGACTTATCTTTCATCAGTATATCTGCTAAGAAACACAGTTGCTTCCAAAATATTATAATATCTACAAATCTGACAGACTGGTGGAATGATAAAATCACAGAATTCACCCTGGCACCCTGCGTACACACCCATCTGTTACAATCCTGACTTTTTAATCAACAAATTACAGATAAAAGGAAATACATTGAAAGTCAAATGTAACGCTCACTTGCAGTACCTCTTTGAGATGGATTAAATCGTTTTACTATTTGAGCCAAACGTTCAGTGTTGGAGCAGTGTCTACAATACATTCAAATAAGAAGTTCAATAAAAACCGAAAGCCAAAACCAATATATGAAATAACCCCAGATTTGGTAGTTAACCTCAGCAAATTGGCAAATTCTCTCAAACCTTTTACAAAAATATACAGAATCTTGGCATTGTATGACCCTTCCATATCACTTCCCATCAATAAATGGGACAGTGTCTCCACCAATGCCAACTTTTGGAAACAAATATGCAAGCCTTCACATATGCCAGAAATACATACAGTTTTAAATATTGCATACAGTTATTACATACAATCCAATATAAGATTCATAGAATCACAGAACACAAGTTACACATTAACATTTCAAATGTACAGAGGTGGACAAAGTACACAACTCTATTACTTGACTGAAAGTACAGATAATGCTAGTCAAATATTACTCCATTACAAGTGCAAGTTGTAAAAACATATTTTTATGTAACCGGGGCAGGAATAGTCCAATATTTAATTCCCCTGGTGATTCCCCCTTTTAAGTTTTCGCTATGATGCAGTTATGCGTGCTGTCTCCTTTAAGAGTTTGAGCATGCGCACAAGAGAGAGAGTGTGCGTCAGAGGGCAACAGAGATAGCGCCGATAGAAGCAGCAGTTACAAGTGAGGAGAAAAGTGTTGTTAAAAATTGTTAAACGGATATAATCCAGGCTGGTTATCAACTCGTGGACCTGTGGTGGTTTCAGTTGTGAGTGCGCGTCAGAGGGGAACAGAGATAGCGCCGATAGAAGCAGCAGTTACAAGTGAGGAGAAAACAGTTGTTAAATATTGTTAAACGGATATAATCCAGGCTGGTTATCAACTCGTGGACCTGTGGTGGTTTCAGTTGTGTGACTGCACAGAATAGATGACTTAATTCAGTGTTTATATTAGTGTGTTGTTGCTGCACGTGAGAGATCTCTGGTGGGGGAGGGGATTCAGGCCTACTTCAACGGAGATTGAGCATAAGTTAATTTAAAATATGTTTTGAAGACTGTTATAAGGTAAAATAATACAGTGTAATACATGTATGGAAGGAACATGCAGTAATTGTTGTGTATTATACTGTTAAGAGGGGAGAACAATGATGTGAGATCGCACATGTGCCAGTTTCCACGTGATTGATAATCCAGAGTCTCATATAAGAGTGAGTTTTTCATTCATTTCTCCCAAAGTGTGTTTACCTATATGGCATGAAAAGTATTGTACCCTGTATAACGTGTACTGTTACCTTTAGTCTATTTACTGATTAATATGTTTAAAAGAGGTTAAAATGTGAACTGTGTATAATGTGGGTGGTGCATTTAGGTGGCAAAATGGGGTAGCGCTTACGTGGTGCTGGCACTGGAGGGCGCCCTAGAGGAGCAGGCACAGCTAAGCGCATTTGAGGAGCTGGGACTGGAGTGAGGTTTGGGGCTGGAGCCGACAATGGAGCGAGCTCTGGGGCTGGAGCGAGCTGTGGGGCTGGAGCCGGCACTGGAGCGAGCTCTGGGGCTGGCACCTTATCGTCCGTGGGGCTTGCCACACTAACGTCCTTGGGGCTTGCCACACTAACGTCCTTCGCGTTTGCCACACTAACGTCCTTCGGGTTTGCCACACTAACGTCCTTCGGGTTTGCCACACTAACGTCCTTTCGGCTTGCCACATTAACGTCCTTTCGGCTTGCCACATTAACGTCCTTTCGGCTTGATGGGAAAGGAAGGCACTGTCACGGGTGCACTGCTGAGCGGAGTCAGGAGCAAGAAACGGAGAGAGACGAGGAGTACATCAATCCAACTGGGTTTAATTCACATAAAGAAACACGGAACACTCACGCTATACATGTAGACATAGACATACACATACAAAACATGGAACAGAGTCTGACACATATAGGCCACTGCCGTTGATTTGCACACCTTTATTGGTTCTTTAACATTGGTTGCATTATTCAATCTATGTGTGCAATCAAGTCAAATTGGGCTTGTGATCTGCTGTTTTGAATAGAGGTTATTACTGTAAAGAACTTATTTTTATTCTTTACATTTCTTCTGCTACCTTATTTCGTTTTCTGCGCCCATTGAAGTGAATTGGGTGTTTGTTTTTTGTTATTCTGTTTTATACGACTTCTCTTGTTCAACTGGATCGGAATCCTGAAAAAAAAAACTTTTCCCCGAACAAAACATTAATGCTGAGTTTCCTTTGAGGCTCAGTCAGGAATAAAAGAATCCTTTTTTATTAGATGTCTTGGCATTGTCTTTTTCCTTAGTATATTAGAAGGACGTCAAGCCGGCCACATCTAATTTTGGTGTCAGAAGTGGGATTCTGTTTTGTTTGGGGCTGATTTTTATTTGTTACGATAGTGCAAAAGTAGAAGGGTGCAAACAACGGTAGTGCTGGAAGGACCTGCAGTGCCATCCTGACAGAAGTGGCAGCAGGACAAAGGGCCAGCGTAGCAGAACTGCTGTGTGTGAGGACTTCGAGGAGGACAGTGCTTGTTGAACTGACTGTTTGAGAATGGAGATTTTCTGTGACTACGGCAAAACCATGGATGCTGAGGACATGGACGGTGCAGCCGCAATGGCGGAAGACATTGAAGGTGCAGGTGCTGCGGTGCCAGAAATGGACATTGAGGGAGGTAACCCTGTCTCACAGCTTCAGTCCCAGATCTTGGAGTTGGGACGTAGACATGATGAAGTAATGTCAGCTCTTGCTAACATGACTAATGTTCATACTAGATCCTATGTGTATATCCCAAGAGAGAGACAAATTGACAAACCTTTCAGTGGGGATCCAGGTAAGGACTGCCAAAATGTTGATGAGTTCATTGAGGAACTTGGGAGGGTTATAAGAGTGAGGGGATTGAGTACTGAGGATCAGGTAGATTTTATCCTCTCCCACTTAAGGGGTTCAGCACTAGATGAAATCAGGTTGTGTATGGGGGGGGAAGGTAAGTCAGCTGAAGACCTGTTCTCATATTTGAGGGCAGCTTTCAGGGAAAAGCATAGCACCTCCCAGTTGTTGCACACATTTTATGCACGAAAACAATTGGAAGGTGAGGATTTTCGTGATTTTTCACATGCACTGTCATTGATGTTAAATGCTGCACTGCAACAATCACCACATTGTGTTCCAAATGTGCAGTTGGTTTTGAGAGACCAGTTTATAGAAGGGGTGAGGGATTCAGCACTCCGGAGGGAACCGCGCAAGGTGGTCAGAGAGCGACCTCATGCTACATTATTCGAAGTTCGTGAGGAGGCCCTTTTGTGGTGCTCAGAAGAGAGACCTCGTCCAGCTAATGTGGCCCGAAACCGAAACCTAGTGAGTGTGGAGGAAAGTGTAGAGCATGCAAGGATGACCGCCACTGTACCAAATGACTTGACTGTAGACCTACAAGAGGTAATTAAGGTAATTACACAACAAGGGAAAGCAATCGGGGACCTTACCAACGCTGTCCATGATCTCACGATTCAGAGGTCTCACCCAACTTGTGAGAAACCTAGTAAGCCCAAGTTTAAGCCAAGGTATACCCAGGATGGCCAACCCATTTGTTTGAGATGTGAGGGCGTTGGGCACATAGCCAGGCAATGCACTGGGCAGCGCTTCCAGGAAAACCCTGTGCCATCTAAGCCTGAGTCTCCAGTTCCGGGAAACGGTGCGCTTCCATTGCGAAGAGCCGAGCAATGAGAGGTGGCACTGATGGCTCACAGAGAGCTTCTTTAAAAAAACATCTTCATGGGGAAGATAAAGACATGCATTGTACAAGCAAGTGGTTAAAGATTACTGCCGCCAACGGGTTGCCTCTTCCCTACCTTGGGTATGTTGAACTTGATATCCAGGTAATGGGGTTGACTATACCTGGGTGTGGGTTCTTGGTGATACGTGACCAGAATGATGGGGAGACTGACTCAGCGCCCCCAGGCATACTTGGCATGAACATTGCACAGTGGTGTAAACAATTGATTCTAGCTGAGTTTGACAATGCTTTGGAGGGGACGTTGGATGCTGACTGGAGAGCCGCCCTTAACCGAGTGCAAGAGGCTGCCCCAGTAGGAGCGAACTCTGTGGTCCGGGTAGCAGGCACACGTAAGTCGTACGTACCTGCAGCCTCAGTGGCTACAATTAAGGCCAGAGCACATAAAGAACTAGCTGAAAACAGAAACTTAAGGTTGTTTGAGCCAGGTAAGGCATCATTGCCAGGCGGCTTGGTCCTGATTCCCACCTTGGTATCACCCGGTAGGCGGGTATTCCCAGTGCAGGTAGTAAACTTGTCCCCAGAAGGTGTGTGGTTGCCACCCAAGGTGAAACTAGGGGTACTTGGCCAGGGTCGTCGTGTTGAGAATAGCTCCTGCGAAGTTAGATTCCATCGAATCTCTGCAGATCATGAGGAAGTTATGGTAAACCAGAGGTCAATGACGGGGGTTAGCAGTGACCTGCAGTGTCCCTTGGAGAAAGTGCAGATCGGCGGTACCCCTGCACAGCAGGCAGAGCTGAAGGCGCTTCTAAGGGGATACCTGGACGTGTTTGCCATCACTGATGAAGACCTTGGTTATACTGAACTGGTAAAGCATGAGATTCCCTTGAACGATGACCTTCCTGTCTCACAGTCATACCGACTTATACCACCAAACCAATTCCAGGAGGTGAAGGACCATATCTCTGGACTTTTCAAAAAGCGTGTCATCCAAGACAGCTCCAGTTTGTATGCATCTCCGGTGGTGTTAGTCCGGAAGACTGACGGGAGTCTTAGGCTATGCGTGGACTACCGGAAGCTGAACTGTAAAACTAGGCGTGATACATTCCCGTTGCCACGAATAGATGAGAGTCTGGATGCTCTGAGTAAGGCCAAGATGTTCTCGTCTATTGACCTAGCGAGTGGCTATCACCAGGTAGCAGTTCATGAGAAGGACCGCCACAAAACAGCTTTCATTACACCATTTGGCCTGTATGAGTACCAGCGGATGCCGTTTGGCCTATGTAATGCGCCAGCGACATTCCAACGTCTCATGTAGGCCATAATGAGTGACCTGGTCTTTCAAATGGTACTCGTCTATTTGGACGATTTGCTTGTGTACTCAAGTACATTCGAGGGACACTTAGTGAGGCTTGTGTTACAAAGGTTGAGGGAGGCCGGACTCAAGGTTAAGGTGGAAAAATGCCACCTCCTGCAGTCCGAGGTAAAGTTCTTAGGGCATGTGATATCTGCTCAAGGGGTGTCTACAGACCCAGACAAAGTGAGTGCAGTGAAACAGTGGCCAATCCCTAACACTGCGATCTGCGATCTGAGCTGCGATCCTTTTTAGGATTCTGCAGTTACTATCGGAGATTCATTGAGGGCTTCTCTAAGGTGGCCGGTCCGCTCCATGATGTTGTAAACACTTGTGTCCACCAAGGGAGTGTTGCTCAGGCCAACAAGTTGTTTAAGGACTCTTGGACAGTGGAGTGCCAGCAAGCCTTTGAGCACCTCAAGGAGAAGCTTACTTGTGCTCTGACACTAGGCTACGCAGACTTCACCCTACCGTTTGTGCTGGAGACCGACGCCAGTAACCTGGGATTGGGTGCTGTGCTATACCAGCAGCAAGAGGGAAGTAAGACTGTGATAGCCTATGCAAGCCGGAGGTTGAGGGGCTCAGAGCGAAATGACAGGAACTACAGTAGTATGAAGCTAGAGCTCCTGGCACTCAAATGGGCTGTGGTGGAGAAATTCAGGAGTTACCTGCTAGAATCCAAATTTACTGTTCTAACAGATAACAATCCCCTCTGCCACCTCAACACGGCTAAGCTGGGTGCCATTGAACAGAGGTGAGCTGCACAGCTTGCGATATTCGATTTCAAAGTCCAGTACCGCCCTGGACGGTGTAACACTGCAGCTGACGCTCTCTCTTGAAGACCAGGACTGGAGGCGATGGAGGTGGTAACTGAGGATTCAGAGTACGATGGCTGTGTGGCTATTTGCAGTGGGCTACGTACAGGGACTGCACTGGAAGTTGACCTGGCAGGGCTAGTGGCGAGTCCTAGAGAGGGAGAAATAGGACTGTTACATGCAGCCATAGAGCATAGAGAGTCTGGAGGGGGACCCATGGAGAATACCCCAACATTACCTGGATACACAAAGGATGAGCTTCGTCAGTTTCAGGATGCAGATCCGACCATCAGTGTGCTCAAGAGTTTCTGGGACAAGAAGAGGAAACCCACAAATCGTGAGAGAAAGCACTTGTCCAGACCGTTGAGGATGTTGCTTAAGCAGTGGGACAGGATCCAAGAGAAAGAAGGGCTGATGTACAGAATGACTGACGATGTGTTCAATGGGGAATGCCAACAGTTGCTGCTCCCTACATGTCTGGTTGAAATGGTGTTGCGAAGTGTTCATGACCAGATGGGGCATCAAGGCGTGGAGAGGACGCTGGCCCTGCTCAAGCAGCATTGTTATTGGGTTGGGATGTATGAAGCTGTGGATAAGTGGGTGAAGGAGTGCCAGCGGTGTGTGCTATCCAAAATGCTGCAGCCCAAGATTCAGGCACCTTGGACCCCATTCTTGGCTTCTCATCCACTGGAAGTGGTCGCAATGGATTTCACCAAATTGGAACCTGCATCGGATGGACAGGAGAATGTCCTGGTTGTGACAGATGTATTCACTAAGTTCAGCCAGGCATTCCCCACCCGCAATCAGAAGGCGGACACTACCGCTAAGATCCTTCTGAAGGAATGGTTCCTCAAGTACGGTGTGCCTCAGCGTCTTCATTCAGACCAGGGGAGGAACTTCGAGAGTGCCGTTATTGCAGAGCTCTGTAAACTGTATGGGGTGAGAAAGTCCCGCACTACGCCACATCACCCTCAGGGAAATGCACAGTGCGAGAGATTTAACAGAACTCTGCATGACCTCTTGCGTTCCTTGCCACCTGACAAGAAACGAAAATGGCCACAGTACTTACCTGAGCTGGTGTACGCCTATAATGTGACGCCTCATTCCTCCACTGGTTACTCCCCTTACTACATGCTGTTTGGTATGGAGCCACACTGGAGCCACAAGAGATGCCTTCGTTAGATGCAGAATGTGTGCTTGTGGAAGAAACCAGATGGTCTGAGGAGGATCCAGTGGACCTGGTGCTTGAGGAGTCACAGCAGCCAGATGTGGAACCAGACAATTGTGCTGGGCCTGGAGTGGAAGAAGTACAAGGAATATATAATGATGCACAAGTGAATAATGAGGCGAGTGCTGTTGAAGAGCTCTATCTGCCTGATACTGAAAGAACTGATTCACCTTTGGATGTGGTTTTGGCTAGGCCAGTTCCTGTTCCCCCGAAAGCCCAGAGAAAAAAGTGCTGTACCCCACCCTACGCCACGCAGGACCCAACGGCCAACAGCTGGTGTTCATGGTAATCCAAACAGACTGCCTAAATCTGCTTGTAATACTGTGTCCTTCAGTCCTGATGTCCTTTCCCAAGTGTTAGCAGGTATGGTCTTGTACACATCCGGTAAACTACAAGGAGTAATGGATGATTGAAGGGTGTTTGCAGACATCGAGGACGTTGCCTGTAGGCAGGGGAGAGTGTAACAGGGCAGGAATATTTATTAACAGGGCCCAATATTTAATTCCCCTGGTGATTTTCCTCCTTTAAGTTTTCGCTATTATGCAGTTATGCATGCTGTCTCCTTTAAGAGTTGGAGTATGCGCACGAGAGAGTGTGCGTCAGAGGGGAACTGAGAGCGCGCCGATAGAAGCAGCAGTTACAAGTGAGGAGAAAATAGTTGTTAAAAAATTGTTAAACGGATATAATCCAGGCTGGTTATCAACTCGTGGACCTGTGGTGGTTTCAGTTGTGGGACTGCACAGAGTGGATGCCTTAATTCAGTGTTTATATTAGTGTTTTGTTGCTGCACATGAGAGAACTCCGGTGGGGGAGGGGATTCAGGCCTACTTCAACGGAGATTGAGCGTATTTAATTCCCCTGGTGAGTCCCCCTTTAAGTTTTCGCTATGATGCAGTTATGCGTGCTGTCTCCTTTAAGAGTTTGAGCATGCACACAAGAGAGAGAGTGTGCGTCAGAGAGGAACAGAGATAGCGCCGATAGAAGCAGCAGTTACAATTACATTACATTGCCTACTTCAACGGAGATTGAGCGTAAGTTAATTTAAAATATGTTTTGAAGACTGTTATAATGTAAAATAATACAGTGTAATACATGTATGGAAGGAACATGACGTAATTGTTGTGTATTATACTGTTAAGAGGGGAGAACGATGATGTGAGATCACACATGTGCCAGTTTCCACGTGATTGATAATCCAGTCTCATATAAGAGTGAGTTTTTCATTCATTTCTCCCAAAGTGTGTTTACCTATATGGCCTGAAAAGTATTGTACCCTGTATAACGTGTATACTGTTACCTTTAGTCTATTTACTGATTAATATGTTTAAAAGAGGTTAAAATGTGAACTGTGTATAATGTGGGTGGTGCATTTAGGTGGCAAAATGTGCAGATTGTTCATGTATGCTTATGCTGTTGTTTTTTGTCTGTTTTATCAGGCACATATAGGCCACTGCCATTGTTTTGTACACCTTTATTGGTTGTTTAACATTGGTTGCATTATTTCAAGTCAAATTGTGCTTGTGATCTGCTGTTTTGATTAGAGGTTATTATTGTAAAGAACTTATTTTTATTCTTTACATTTCTTCTGCTACCTTATTTCGTTTTCTGCGCCCATTGAAGTGAATTGGGTGTTTGCTTTTTGTTATTCTGTTTTATACGACTTCTCTTGTTCAACTGGATCGGAATCCTGAAAGAACCCTTTTCCCCAAACAAAACATTAATGCTGAGTTTCCTTTGAGGCTCAGTCAGGAATAAAAGAATCCTTTTTTATTAGATGTCTTGGCATTGTCTTTTTCCTTAGTATATTAGAAGGACGTCAAGCCGGCCACTTTTACTTAAGTAAAAGTACAGAAGTACTTGCTTTTAAAAGTACTTAAGTAGAAGTCAATTTCCTTTTTTATGTCAATGCACTGTTTTATTATTGTTGTATACAATACTAACAGCACCTTATGCCTCTGAAGCAACTTACAAAACATTACGCCTACTGAATACACTGACTAGCTTGTAGTATATCTTTGTAATAAAGAGCTTTTAGAATGTTAAAAACCTACAGAAATGAAACAAGTGAGTTAACAGTGATCTCACACAGCTCTGGCATTGTGTGCACACATCTACGTGTAGCCATTCATCCACATTTGAACCACGTGGACATTGAAATTGTTGTAAATACAGACTGATTAAAAAAGAAAAAAAAAAACCTGCTTTAAAACCCAGCAACACAACTGTAGCTGTATAACTTTACAACAGCAACACTGCTTTAACACAGAAATAAAACAGCAAGATTGACATCAAAACATTAAAAATGCTCTCTAATCGCTCTCACAGTACTTTGATATCATACAAAGAACAGTCTGTGCAGTGCTGCTTTAGGTCAAACACCTATTGTGTTTTTTTTAAGAGACTCATGACAGTTCTTCTGTGGCTTTATAGGTAATAGTTTCATTTACACAATTTAGCAAAATCAGATTGCAAATCAATATTGTGTCTAGTATATACCACAATATTAACTACTTATTATTGAATTGTAAATAAATATCACATTTGCAACTGGTCTATGTTCAAAAAATGAACACTTCACATAATTGAAATTCACTTCACGTAACCCTACAAGAGTGATTACGGATAGACTGAAAAAAAGTCATGTTTTAGAGAAGAAAAAAATCACCCACTGACTTTCAAAGCTGCATTTTCATTTTTTTTTCATCTTTTTTTTTTTTCTTCCTGTCTTGTTTTTCATTTGTATGTATCATTGTACTGTACAATAACTAAGCATAGATACAAAAAAAAATTTGAACATATATCAGTTTATAGAGTCACAAATATATCTATAAAATGTGCGTGTGTGTGTGTGTGTGTGTGTGTGTGTGTCTCTGTGTGCTGTATATATTTACATATACTTTCACAGAAAGATGCCCTGAGCAATTCATGTCCTTCCCTAAATCATCAATTAAAGATGGAGTCTCGAGTGATGACTTCCCTGTATTAATCTTATCATGTGTCATAACCTGCTCTCTTGTTACAGCTTTCAGATATAATTGCTCCTGCTAATATTAAAGTGGTGTTTGAGGGAAGCAGCAGGGTTCAATTCTCCGCAGGCAGTTTCAGCCTGGGGATTCCTTGATTGCAAAATATCCTTTCAACCCCTCCTCTCCACACCGCCTTAAAGTGATCTCATCATGGTCTCTGAAGGAAGTTCCTACACATACACTGACACAGACTGGGCAGGACTGCTGCTTTTTAGCACTCTGTTTTTTTCCAGTCATCTCTTCTCATTTCCTGTCCTCAAGTGAGTGTGCAGAAAAACATATTTTCTTTATTGGCTCTCAGTACCAATTCAGTTCAACTAAAATGTGTCTACACAGCAAAAAGGCCAGGGAAGAGCTATAGGTTTCACAGGAATTGCATCAGCTTTTCAAACAAACAAACACACACACACAGAAAATGAAGGCCCTTGCAAAGCCCTGTCCATGTCTCACAAATTCCATGTGTGTTGTGGCACAGATTAAGTAACACAGAGATTGAGTGTGTGTGAGAGAGAGAATGAGAGAGAAAATAGCATAGCGAGTCCAGAGATGTAATAAAGGCAAAGATTGTCCCTCAGGGAATCGTGGTTGTGTGCGACCAATATGCTCTATATTTCTTCTTCGCTGTCTTCTATCATCACTTTAATCCCCAAAATTACGAACAAAGCCTTTCTTGAAATTTGAGCGTATTTTCCATGGTAAAATCATGTAATATATGGTGAGGAGAAAAATGAACATGGCTAAGCTCAGAGTAAATATTTGAGGTTTGTTTTTAAGCTGTTTTATAACACTGAGTGTGACTGGAGATGGAACAGAATTTGGGTTGAAATGAAGGCCTGGTGGGTCCGTAGCAAATCTGAGAAGCAAATCTAAATTTGTCAAATTGAATTTCCTCACACAGTGATGGGGTGGTCCGAAAATGTGCTTGATGAGATAACTTGTGATTATCTCATGATTCAAGATTCAAAGTGAAATGAATTACTGTTTGAAGGGTGTTTATAGCTTTCTTTTCTTCCATTTTGAAATGTACTGTTTTGAAGCACTACTTAATACTTACTTTATATATATATATATATATATACAGTATATATAAAAAATATATATACAGTATATATAAAAAATATAAATATATACAGTATATTAAGTAAATTATATTATGCTACTATTTTTGTGAAGGACAGCATTTAATTTTTTTGTAATATTGTAAAATTCTTTACTGTCACTTTTTTTTTTAATGCTGAACAAAAGTATTAATTTCTCCAAAAAAAAAAAAACATAATTTATACTCACATCATTTCAAATGCTAGTGGAAACATTAAATATAAAAAAGTAATTTGCATTCTTTATGCTGTATACATACATACAAACATACATACATATGCTATATTCCATAATGTAAATGCATTATTGGTATGTTAAGTATAATACATTATAATGAATGTAAATTACTTTTTTTATATATATTTAATGTTTTCCTATTAAAATCCCTTTTTTTCCCACATTTCCACACACTTATCCCTTCATAAGCACACCCTTACACCACATGAAACAACATACACACACAGACACACACACAAGCACACACAATATCCACCCCAGGAATGTTCACCAAATGACTGGCCACAGCACTGACTCTGATGTAACTGAACATCTAATGGGCATAAAAGGTGCCAGAAAGCAAGCTAACATTTTCACCTCTAGCCTGAAGGGCCTCTGCTATAATAGTAATCAAGTCTTTGATTCAGCCGTACATTTTCCAGCTCACATGCCTTTCGATTATCAGCTTAAACCAGGAGCTTTGAAGCCCAAACCTGAACCCATGGCTCTGTTTCCTCCGTGGGAGACAACCTGTCATCAGAGCACTCGTCTCAAGCTCTCATAAAGTGCTGTCTCAGGGCCTGCTGTCTCTCTCAGCTCAGCTCTCGATGTAGCCTCAGGTCCTGCAGATAGACCCACACTGGGCACCAAATCCGTTTAATTACATGTTCAGGCTTTAATTTGGGATCTTCTCATGCCTTTGTAAGCAGTTATTGTTATTGACCAGGCAAACGTGGCTATCTGTGCTTCTTTAGATGTCTACAGTCATAAGACATATTACCGGTTTCTCACAATGCTTCCTTTCATCCCAATTCTGTCAAAATTGGGTTGAACCAGACTTATAATAAGGCAAGAGTGCTTTGTCGCTATAGGCAAGAGACTGCGAAATGTAAGCTCTTCAAGAAAATTTTAGACAGTTATTTCCCTTACAGGCATGGTGGTCACTTGTGGTTGATTGTGTGGATATGTGTGTGTGTGTGTGTGTGTGTGTGTGTGCCTCTGCTATAATAGTAATCAAGTCTTTGATTCAGCCGTACATTTTCCAGCTCACATGCCTTTCGATTATCAGCTTAAACCAGGAGCTTTGAAGCCCAAACCTGAACCCATGGCTCTGTTTCCTCCGTGGGAGACAACCTGTCATCAGAGCACTCGTCTCAAGCTCTCATAAAGTGCTGTCTCAGGGCCTGCTGTCTCTCTCAGCTCAGCTCTCGATGTAGCCTCAGGTCCTGCAGATAGACCCACACTGGGCACCAAATCCGTTTAATTACATGTTCAGGCTTTAATTTGGGATCTTCTCATGCCTTTGTAAGCAGTTATTGTTATTGACCAGGCAAACGTGGCTATCTGTGCTTCTTTAGATGTCTACAGTCATAAGACATATTACCGGTTTCTCACAATGCTTCCTTTCATCCCAATTCTGTCAAAATTGGGTTGAACCAGACTTATAATAAGGCAAGAGTGCTTTGTCGCTATAGGCAAGAGACTGCGAAATGTAAGCTCTTCAAGAAAATTTTAGACAGTTATTTCCCTTACAGGCATGGTGGTCACTTGTGGTTGATTGTGTGGATATGTGTGTGTGTGTGTGTGTGTGTGTGTGTTAAACATGAGATGCCACTTTATAAAAGGATGATAGGAAATTTTAAGTGTGTGACAGTCTAAGGAGGATATTGACAAAGAATTAACTGCACTGTTGGCATTGTTTATTTCCTCTGTGTTGTTTTAGCACCCCATTGACTAAAGGAATTATGAAAATCAGCTAACAGCACAAACATGCCAATAAAAGCAATAAATGTTCATTTAAATTTGAAAATTTAAGCAAAATATATCCTTTAGAGGAATCTGCAGACTACCACAACATGTCATATAATACTGGGACTGTACAGAAAGTGTCTTGACTACATTGCCATCTGGATACAAATGCATTTACCATAATATCACATCATTAATTTTGCAGGGCAAATAGCATTGAGTTTTGTGAATAAGGTATAGTCTATTATAAATGACACAGAAATGAGGCATGTCTGTGCTGAAAAGAATGACAAAGAAATAATTTTAATATGCACAGAGGAGTGCTATACCAGAACAAATAGAGCCTGGTTAAACTGGATTGCGACTAATGAATGAATAAGAGTTAACAAATAAGAGGTGTTTGCATTATTTCATTTTTCAATAGGCAATAATTAAAACAAAAAATAATTTTCCTCATTCATTCTGGTTAGTGTTTACATTCCCCCGCAAGCTCACTTGAGCGCAGCGCTACAACAGCTGGCTGATCAGATCGCAGACACAGAGCAACAACACCAGGACTCTGTTATAATAATTCTTGGGGACTTTAATAAAGCAAATCTTTCCTGTGAACTGCCAAAATACAGACAGCATGTTACAAGTCCCACCAGAGACGGCAATATATTGGATCACTGTTACACCACAATAAA